CGAGTAAATTATGGGGCGATTCATATGTTTGCGCTTTCTTTGAATGGTTTGATACCGTCTTCTGATTCTCTTTGTGACTCTTTGTATCGATTTTGAGTTTCTCTGTAATTATCTGTTCCAGTGTTAGAACAGAGGGTTTTCCGGAAACGGGTTTCCATTTATTCTTATTTCCGGTTCTTTTGGTCACTTTGTTTCCGACGGCACCACAAGTGGAGGCGTCGGACCTCTCGTTCCCCAACCCGTCATCAGTGGTGAGCCTTTCGCGAGGCATGTCTTCGGCGTTGGATTGATGTGAACGAGGTATGAATGCGGGCGCAGACGGGTTCAGAGCAGTCCAATCCTGACAATCATTATTCACATTAATAATCAATTCAATTAATGGACTAATTGTTGGCAATGAATGTCACACTTACTAAATGACCACATTTTAACATTTTAATCGACTTTTGCTTTAAAACATCTAAAATATGTTCATTTAAATCAAAAAATGTATCATTAATTTAAGTCACACTTTAATTAATAATATTAATAAATCTAAATTAATTGTAAAATAAAATTATTTTGTTTATCACTGATTTGTTTATCAATATTAAAATCACATTTCCATTCATTGATAACGTTATCAGATATTTGTTTTCAATTAAATCCCCATTTATTACAAAAAGTTGTATTTTTGTATTTATTAATTGTATGTATAATTAAGTTATAAATTATCATAAAATAATATTATGCATAATAAAAGTGTAATTAAATTGCATTTATATAACTTTAATGTGTATTAAATTACTATAAATAGTAAATGAATGGCAAAAGCATTGAAATACCCTTTGATTGCAATAGTATTTGAAGAGCTCTTTAAATGTAAACAAAACTTTAATTTCATTCACAAATTTTATTTACGATTAGTTGTATTACAACTGTTGTAAGCATTGATTGACTCTTTAATTGCAATCACAATGAAAGGCAAATCCAATGTAAGTATTGAGTGAATGCTTTACTACTAATTAATTGTAATATCTATTGATTTTCAGACCAATAAAATACCGATTCATTTGATGAATGAATTGAAACAACAGTTGACTTCAATTGGTTTGTCTCAAAAGCCCTGCTATTTATGGGAACTAAGTTTCGGTGATTGCGATCACGTTATCGATGTCTGCCATGAGTTTAACATTGACTTAAAGTGTCTTAAAGTGATTCAAATCAATGATCTATTATTTATCGCAAACTTTGAGTTATTGTCAAAACATTTATCAAACTTATTGAGCGATTCATTCATTGCATTCATCGATGTTTCACCTGATCTTCAAAAGCCTCGACTTCTCTCTCAACAACAGATCC